TTGAACAGAGACTCTGGCTGAGACTATGACCACATCTTGACTTGATAGTGCTTTTATCTAATTCTCACCAGAAATCCCAAGTTGGGATTGTTTTAAAGGTCCCCTAAGAAACACACTCATATAAGATAACTTATTATTGAAGGAAGATGTTCAAAGAGTAAAGGTGATTTGTATGGGATGTAAACAATGCTGTTATAGTTTAACTAGCTCTCTATCACGTATAGATAATGTTACTTTAATTTGCATTATACCATGAATTCACTCAATGTCAGTGATACATATTTTTTAATTGAAAAAGTAGTGGTGAAGGATAAAAGACAATGTTATTACAAAAAGACAGTTAAAAACACACCTTACATTTACAGGATCATCATTTTATTTTCAACTTGCCTTTAGTTAGACTTCAGCCATGTGCACGGCACATACAGTGTGACATTTATTAGGCCCTGTATAAAACTGCAGGACTACTGATAAAAGTAGTTGATATAAAATTGTCATAAGACCACAGGACTCAGAATTATAGATAGTACAGTATCATATCATCACTGACAAAATAAAATCCTTTCCCTGAAAGCAGGTATCCAGGCAGCAGGGTTATCAACAGTTTACACTTCATAGATGAGTCCCAACCAGTTTAGCAATGAAACCTTCTTCTCCTTCATCTCTTGTAATGCTTCATGGATAAAGATTAGTGATAACATATTTTCTAGGCCAAGGATTTCAGAAAACTGTATAAATGATCTGTGGCTAACACACATTGATGATACTAACATGTTTTGTAGGGCAATATAATCGGTGTGATGTCGTTTAGTAGTCTCATTGTTAGCCAATTTGATGACACATAAAAGCTTTAAACATTCACCAGTGGTGGTTTTACTGACACATTTCTTGTCGTAGATTAAAACTTTAGAAAATCTCTCCAGCTTGTGTTAACCACAGACCTTATTTTAGGCATCTAACCATAAACGAGGGAACCAGAAGTTCTTAAACGCTAACTAATGTCCAGCATTTAAAACAAAATCTGCATGTTAGGTTAACGCTGGTTTAGGTACCGTATTTTCCGGACTATAAGTCGCGTTTTTTTACCTGTCTGGCTGGTCCTGCGTCTTATACTCCGAAGCAACTTATATATTGAATTTTGTCTGACTGCGTTCAAACTCCGGCCAATAGATGGCACTGTATACAATCGTGACAACTGAAAACTGCTGTACCACCGAAGAAGAAAAAAGTCACGGCAACCGGGAGGATCATGGATGCATAATAAGAACTGGTAGGATGCGTCACGTAACTTTCCAGGATGTCGTGGGATGAATCGACACAGCATGGGCTTCAGTGATGACCGACACCATCCTGTTGGGATTCAGAAAGGTCTAATCGGAGCTGATTCTGATGGAGAGTCTGAGGACAGCCCGGAGCAGGACATGCTGCTTCATCGACGCAGAGGATGAAGACTTCAGTGGATAAATGCGACTTTTACACCGAAGCGACTTATATATGTTTTTGTTCTCTTAACGACACGTTGGTGCGACTTATAGTCCGGGAAATACGGTAATATTGGTTCAATTGACCTTTTAACATTGGAGGACATTATAGGAATTTGTGGTGCTGATGGTGTGTCTGCCGTCAGTGTTCAGCAGCCTTTTCTGTACAAGTCCACATGGTCAGCACGTGAATGTGAAACATTTGCAGCGTCTGAGAGAAGGTTTGCCACAGTCTGACTTTAAGAACTCCATTGCTCTTGATCGGACTAAAGCTGAATAACCAAATGAGCAGACTGAGTAGAGGACTGGCCCTGGGTCAGTGGCTGAGGGCAGAAAGGTATTCTACTGTAAACATGATGCCTGCCATGCAAAGCAGTGTTACCAGAGAGCTCACACAGCAGGATCCATCATGAGGTGTTGGAGAGGAGATTTAACCAGGCGTGTTTCAGGACCAGCAGGCAGTGTTTTCCACTTATTCTTACAATTTCACAACTATCTGACAGTAGTGAACCAACTGAGCGTGGATCAGTCTTTACATCCTAGCTGGTTTGAAAGACTCACAGCCTAAAGCCACTGCAGCGACAGTTTGCATGATATTTGCAACTTATTTCCTAGCGTGTGTGTTCACTGTGGCTGGATTCTGTGTTAATGCATCATCACTTCTACTGAAAGCACTCTCACCCACAGACAAACAGAACAATCAAACAGGACTGCTTACAAAATATATACAATATATGCTATTGTTAGAGGAATGTTGAACTTGAGATTTAAAACCTCTTGAATATAAGGCTGATGAAGTAAACAGGAGGGTAAGAATACAACAGAAAACAGATAAAATGTCACTAGTCCTCTTTCTAACATGGGTTGTTGATGATTGGTGGATTTAGTCGTCAATGCACCCAGTGGCGCCCCAAGACACTCTGGGGGCCTCAAGCAGAAGGGACATAACACCTCCGACAGCACCGCACCGCACCCACCACCACCCCCCCCACCCCCCCCCGCGCCCCGGAGCGGAGCAGCGAAATGGAAATGATGAAGCAGCTTTTATTAGCCTTTAAAAGGGGGTTTCCCGACATTTTGTTGCAATATATTAAAGGGTGTTTCATGTTGTCGTGGCTGTGGACCTTCTTAATCTACCTTCTTTGGAGGCCCCCTTCTGGTCCGGGGCCCCTGAATGCACCAACGTGAGCCAATCAAACGCAGCTCACACCTTTAGACAGCCACCCAGCTCTGTTGGTTTAAAACTGTCCTCCCCCCGAAAGGAATACCAGCACCTTCAGTTACTAGGGGGTTATATTTACAAAATATATAAAGAAAAATATAGGGTTACTAGCCCTAGCATATAGTACAGTCCAACAGCTGTCTGTAAATATTTCTCCCATGATTATCATTTCTAAAAGTAAATCACAGGGTAAAGATAGCTGGAACGTGACAAGACGCAACGAGGACAACATGGCCCCCGAGCTGGGCTGCTGTCTGCAGACACACAGGACACCAGGAGTCTGGGAAATGTGAAAGTAAAACATGAAAATGGGTGTTGGTTTAGTAAAAGAGAGGATACTCCAAAGGGAATTGGAAACTGGTCGTACAGGAACTGCGGCCCAGTTTGTATCCTCAACAAAATGTATTTGTGAGCTTATTTTAACCTGAGTGTGTTGTTGTTCATCACCGCATAAGGAAATGACTGGAGGGGAAATACACTTAGTAAATGACACTGATGTATAGCCTGAGAAAAGATTTAGCTTTAAGACACTAAGATCACTGAAGGAATAGTTGGACATTTTGAGAAATATGCTTTTTGCTACTTCCTCACAGTGACAACAAAGCTTCAGAACAAGACTTGCTCTGACACTTATGGCGCTTTTCCACTGCAGGACCTAGCACGGCTTAGTACAGTATGGTTAGGCCTTGGTAGGCCAGGCTCACTTTATGCTGTGTTTCTATTACAGTTTAGTAACTGGGGTAGTAACTATAGTAACGCAGTGTAGGCGGGGCGATCGGCTGTTCGGCGGGCGGAGCGACGCTGCATAAAACTGCCGTGACGTCATCTTCAATGCGAACCACAAAACCAAAACATCAGCCGTTATCTGTTAGCACTCAGAGCTCACAGCTCTTCATATCTGTTCAGAAACTAGACAAAAGTTAAACAAGTACAAACCACAGACTGTCTGTGTCATGGCGAATACAGTCGCTGCTTTATTTATGTCTGTATAGGCCGTTGTTGTGAGTGTGGACGGAGCATATACAACGTTAGCTTAGCCTGATCGATCCGATCTCCACACACGCATTTTTTTACTAACCAGTATCAGTATGTTGTTACTTTGGCATCATTTTGAAACGTGTATTACAATTAAATCACGGTAAAATATGTTCATTTTGTTGTAGTTGTAGCCCCCTTGCAACGTATGTAACGTTTGCTGAACATGGCTAAGTCTATTGGAGTAAGTTTTGGGTGCTTTTGTGCTTTCAAAATTCAACTATGTTATAGCTTCAAAAGGTCCATAATATAATTTTAAGTACATCAAAGATGATGAGGTGGTTGTGAGTTCAAATCCCACCAGGAACACCACCACTAGTGTGCCCTTGAGTAAGGCACTTAGTTACTCCAGGGAGAATGTCCCTGTAATTGGTAATTGTAAGTCGCTTTGGATAAAAGCATCAGCTAAATGACATGTAATGTAATGAGGTAAACAAGATTTTCTAGACCAATTTTCTCCAAAAGTTCCCGGGCGTTTCTTCCAGACCTGTCCTACTCTACACAATGTCCAACGGCTACCTGACAATCTGACACAGCTGGACATGAGAACAGTCCTCTTCCACAGAGCTACAGTTTCTCTGCATTTCAGCACTTTGACCTTGCATTTAAACTCCCAAATTCCCCACTTATATAATATCAAAGAGGATGCCGCTTTCTATCTGCAGTCTTCTAGGTCTGACTGAGATTGACAGCAGAAAAGTTCAGAGTTCACCCCCCTGGCAGAGCTATAAACAGCCCTCCCCCCCCCCATTTCTCTCTCTCAGGCAGTAAGATGATACTGTTTCAATTAGGCTCCAGTGCCACACAAAGGAGTTGGAGCATTTGGCAATCAGTGTCACTTCGAACACTGAAGACAGTCCCGCCTCATTTACTTTTTAAGCTAAGACTCAAAAAGGGCGTGTTGTGTAAAAATCATTAAAGAAAACATAGTTAGACCATAAACCTCTGCTGTGCACTTCTGCATAATATCCCATCAGTGCAAAGACAACCAACATCCAAAGACAGGATTTCATTCAGTAGCAGCAAATATGTGATAAATTAGAAAAAGAAAGCATAAATAATGTGTTGAGCATCTTTCATCTTACTCCCCAGTGACAAGATACCCTACCCTAAAAAAAAATACAAAACTGGTTAAACATAAATACAAAAATGAATATATACAAAGCAAAAGATCAAATATGATACACTTGCATAAAGCTTGGAGTGAAAGTGCATCATGGTTCCCCCCCATGTCTCCGTATTGAGGTGAGTCTATGCGGCCACTAGATTCTTGGCAAGAAATGTGTCACGGTCATGGCGGGTGACACTCGGTTTCCTCTTTTTGTTTTGCCGTTCTTACTCAGTCCGATGAACATCCTCGGGTAGGCAATGGACTCGTAGGCGTTGTAGTTGTTGGCGAGGAGCTTCTCTCTGAACTTACACTCGTTGTTGTAGTGTAACTGAAGGAGAAAAGACGCACACATGAGGATTATTGGAAAATGCTAATTGTTTGAAGTCAGAGACAAAACAAAGTTGCATTCTTGTTGAAGTTTGTATTGTTCCATGTGATTACTATCAAACAATTGCTTTATTTCTGACTACAAAGCTAAAGTACAATAGCTGTTACAGTCCTGGGTTTCAAATGATGAATGATGGGAGTGAGGCGGGACGGACTGATTGTGAGGGGAATATAGCTGTGAGCTGGAATCATAAGGCTCTTTGAGATTAAATATAGTTATGAACTCATCTCAGATTGTTCCTTTGTTGGTGTATAGTGTTGTATTCTTCCATGTATGCCTAAGAAATGGCTAAACCTGGCTAGAAACATCTGCAGCACGTCACAGTGGACTCTGTTATGGCACTATCATCAGCTCCAGTGCCCACCCGTGATCCGATACCCGGCACATAAATAATGACCAACATTGTCTGTGTTTGCATATACATGAAACACATTTGAATGAAAACCATATCTCTATTTGATTGGTATGTGTGTGTACATTTCAGTTGTGACTGTAAGATAGATCACACATTATTACAGAAACGACAGATGATTCATAAAGAAGCGCAGCCTACAGTCTTTGTGAGTCTGCACCCTACAGAGGGTATCTGTTAAACGGCCTATTATGTTTGATTTTTGGATGCATTTTATCAAACCTTAAAATATAAAGTTATTATGTAGAGCTCTAGAGAGCCTAGAATAAGAGCAGGCAGTGGGGTGAAGGTCAGACCTGGGCACCGGAACATAGATATGACACATCACTGACAGTATGATAATAACATCTCTGTGATTTCTGTAACATGAGAAATACTTTCAAAATACTAATGATTGAAAATACAGAAGCTTCACAGAGCTACCTGAAGCACATTGTGGACAAAGCCAGAGTTTATCTTAGTTCTATCTTTGGCCAACGCAGAGGACATCAGTTGAGTGTGATTTAATGTGGCCCAGACATGTTAGCAGACCCTCTGCTGAATAATTGTGGCCGTAGACCCCCTCCCAATGTGGTCTGAGGCATCCACTCTCAATGTGTCCTCAATGAATTGTGAGTGCATTCACAGAATCAATTAGGATCACTAAAAACACATAATGCTGTCTGAACTGGGCCAGCTTGGGTACACATTACTCCACTACATCCTTTTAGAGCAAATAGTAATCTGCATTTCATTAAAGTTTACATCATTATTAAATCAAAATGTTGATCAAGTGCCAGTAAAACACTTTGTGATTTCTTCTTCTCTTCATTCTAAACAGACCTCATATTAGCATGCCAAGTTTTCTCCATTGATAGCGAACAGTTGCCCCTGGCAGTCACTGGTGCACATAATCAGAAACATCTACAACTAGTCTCTTGGGTGCAACTTGTTTTAATTTTAATGAATTGCTTAGTTGAATTGCTTGAATTAGTTTAGTGCTGTGCTAATCTCAAAATGTACACTTGAGCCTTAACAAGGCTAAATATAAGAAGGGTTGGTGGACGTGCTCCTGAACTAGATTTAATGAATATTCTGTCAGCCACTGACAGCTAATAGGGACCGACCCAAGGTCATGTCCTCTGCATTATTCTGGGTACATTTCTGAATTTGTATTTTATATGCAGATTCCAGTATGTTAAGACTGAATGAGAGCAAACACATAAATAAAGGTGGGAACACTCACAGATCCGTACAGCTTCCCCCGCCGGTTCATGGCCACAAAGAATCTGCTACGGACCCCCAGCAGGGTCACCACCCCCCGCTCCACCGGGGAGATCTGCAGGACACCTTCAGGGGAAACAAAGACACACACTGAAACACACACACTGGAACATGGAACACACAGAGATGTGTTTGTGTTTTTTATCTGAGATTGAATCTGTAAATGGAGATGAACTGTGACATCTTTCAACATTTTACAGTGAGTTAACTTCATGATGCTGTACGAGTACACTCTGTGTAAATTGGTTGGTTTTGGCAAGGTGTGGCATTGTGCAAGCCTCATCTCTTTGTAGATTCATACACCAATTCAGAGCGGTAACCAGTGGCGGTTCTAGCTGATATGGCGCCCTGGGCGGTGCACCTTTCGTCGGCGCCCCCCCTGGCATGAATATAAAAAACTATAGGTTATATGAATAAATAAAAAGACGCATCCAATTCAGAATTAAATAACTATATTGCACACATTTCTCCAACACACAAATAGAACAATATGTATAATCAAAATAACTACACAAATTAAATAACAATATCACAAAATAAACATGAATATAAAAAGTAGTAGGAAACATACATTAATAAATAAAAAGACATATAAGCTATAGAATGAAAAGACTAATTGCACAAATCTTTCAACACACAAACCAAACAGAACACACATTAAATAACGTATTTACAGAATTAGGCATCTCTAAATTCAACTCCCAAACTGCCCTCTAAAATCTGACCTTCCTTGCCTTCTTTGATGCAGTTAAATAAAGCTTTCATTTCAGTATGCACAATGTAGGCCTATTACTTTTTCAGAATAGGAACTGTTATAACAATAACACAACTTCCTACACTAATTCTTTCTTGGCATAACATATCTCACAAAAGATGGGCTACAACATATCAGTACTGTAGGCCTATATTACAGACGTCTTTTAATTAAGCCTCCAGTATTGAAAATTACACAAAGGACTTGTCAGTACAATTACTTTTGAGGTGTTTGCGAAATGAAGGTGACTAAATCAATGACGGTTATAGTGGTTGTTTATAACGTTTTTATTACATTATCGTTCTGAAGTAAGACGGTTTGAAATGATTCCAATGTTAGTTGCTGAACTGACGACGAAACACAGGCAGCTAACAAGCAGCATTGGGGTTAAGGTTACGGCATAATTTAATGACATGCTTAAAGGTGGGGTAGGTACATTTGAGAAACCGGCTCGAGATACACTTTTTGTTATATTCCATGGAATGCTCTTAACATCCCGATAGCAATGAATATCTTAAGTGCTTTGACAAAACATCCATAAAAAAATGTCATCTGTGGAAGCCGTAGTACTGTAAAAAGCACGACCAATCATTTTAGCCGGCCCGGCTAAAATAACTGGATGGCCTACCTGCCTGTCAGCCTTCCATCTGTGCACAAACTTATCTCGTGCCCTCATTGGTCATGTGCTCGTTCGTGTGTGTTGGAGGAGGGGCTCTATAAGGAAGTGGCAGATTTTCTCCGATTGTGTATTTTCAAATTCTAGCGATCTCGAGCCGGTTTCTCAAACTTACCTACCCTACCTTTAATATAGCCCAACTAAATAAATGAGATTTTACAGGTGCATATACCTTTATCTTTTGAGCGTTTCATTTCTTCTTCTTTCCTTTTCTTTCTAAACTGGGCCCCTGATGCCTTGTGTCTTTTTTTCTCCATCACCGTAGGTATTAATGTTCGACCCGAGAATCAATGCATAGCGTACCCCTCCCCCAACACTGTCAACTACATGTCAAGACTGTACCAATTTGCCGAAGTCAGTTTTTAAATAATTCTTTATTGTTTCATACAACCCAGTATGCAGTACTACTTTATAAACATCGAAAGTGTTTATTTGATAGAGATAGTTTACCCGCCGCCCGCCTCTGTGTCCCCCATATTGAGGCGACCTGAGATCATCTCGCCCTTCTTTGAGTGTGACGCACCGTACACACGGTTCCGTTGCGTGCTTCAACGGAGACACTTCCCATTCACTTTGAATGGGGGGACGTCACGCTTTGCCGAACTGAATTGTGGTTCCGTTGCTTCGCTTTGCCTCCGTTGCTCGCGGTGAAAGTTGAGAAAAGTTCAACTTTTCAAGCGTCGACGGACACGCTAGCCATATGCCAGTACAAGCGCTAGCCAATCAAACCGCGTGCTTGTGTGTCCGGTGCGGGAGATTAATGTGAGGAAAATATTTGTTGTGGCCAAATGGCGGTACTACTATTTCCGTATCAGTCCGTGACGTCACTGGGCCCAGAAATACTTTTGCCCATTGACTAACATTGTGAAAGAGACGTCTGTAAATCAGCGGATATTTTTTAACTAAATAAACTACCCAGTATGAACACTTGTATAGCCCTTATTAGATTCATATGGTCCTTAAAGTTGTAAAATGCACTAAAAGCTGAATCCAGATTTATTTTCTCTCTCCATTCATTCTACTGAGCCGAGAGCGGGAGCTCGGGGGGCGGGGCTTAAGGGGCAACTCAACTGCGCATGCTCCATGAGCGCACATACGGGTACTTCTGCTCTGACAGCCAGGCATGACGGGTAATCTGTGACGTATTGCTCTCGAAAATCTCAGGCCATTTTATCCTCATGCGCCAATGAGCAGCTCTCATAGGAAAGAACGAGACCCCGCCTCCGGCGCTGTATCCAGTTCATATTATACATCCATGGCTTCAATGCGACGGAACCATGTGTACGAGCCGCGAGACCTTCCATCCAGCTGCCTGCTGTCATAAGGCAGCAACAACAATACACTATAAGACATTTCGTACAAATTGGCATTTTTTTCATTGCGCTTGTGCCGCCCCCAGCCAAAATGCCGCCCTGGGCAACCCCCCATGTCGTCCATATCAATATCCGCCACCGGCGGTAACCTATTTTATTCAAACTCCGACTCAACTTATTTTATTTTGCCTTTTATCTGCACTGTCCAATTGCTGTAACAATGTCAATTTCCCCACTGTGCCTCAGATAAAAACATTTTTATTTTGATTCTGAAATAACTTAATCCCCAAACGGGGCTCAAATCATTGGTCACAAAAGTCCAATAGGGACTCTGAGGTTTGGTGGCTTAGAATTTACTAAATATCAGTCATCATTATTGTATTATTTTGTAAGTCAAGTGGCATTAATTGAGATATTTTAAGGTTTACTGATGGAGTTTCTCACTTAGCCTAGCCATGTGGGTTACAGTGTGTGTGTGTGTGTGTGTGTGTGTGTGTGTGTGTGTGTGTGTGTGTGTGTGTGTGTGCGCGCGCGCATGTGTGTGTGTGTTCATCCTTTGTCCCTGCTATCATTTTAAAATGCTTTACAGTGGCTTGAATTCCTCGCAGAGATCTCCTGTAATGTATCTCCCTGAATTGTTTTGCCTTGTCTGGAAATAGTACAGAGGCAGGAGAAAACCCCCAGCATGCTATGAGTTCTCAGAGGCATTCTGTCAATTCCTCAGCTCACATTTGACAAAAGGCCCACACTTCACAAACACAGTCTGACAGGGATTAGATGTGACCTGATAGGTAAATCAACATGTGTTATTCTTTGTGTCTGAGGGAGGGGACTGCTAGGGTCCGTCTGTCCCCACACAGGGTCTCTGCTGCTCCTAACTTTAGGGGCTGGCTGGGCTGCATCACAGAGAGCTCTGATTACCACGGGCGGAAAGCACCGGCACTAAAGGGTGCTCAGTGGCACTACGGCAGGACTCCAGATGTGGTATCAATAAGTGTAAAGGCTATAAGTTGGTTTGAAACAACACAAAATAAAAGTCCTGCATTCACAATTGTACTTTAGTAAAAGAAGAAAAGTATTGGCATCAAAAAATACTTTAAAAAGTAGCCTAATCCAAATGTCTATTTTACATTTGACAATTGTTTGATTAAAATTATTGGTGCATCAGGCCGGTTTTTGGCATAGGCGACATAGGCGGTCGCCTAGGGCGCCAGATCTGGGGGGGCGCTGCGCTGGTAGTTCTGGGGGGGAAAAAAACATTTTTGACTGTTTGGCTCATCCTAATTTTCAGCCTTGATGTAACAACATTCATAATTAAGTCAAGGTAACACCCTTTTCACCCCGGTTACACTTTTCATTTGCCCTGTACGATGGGCGCTGTAAGTGATGAAAGTGGGGGATGTTGGCTTATCAGGCGCCCGCAGCTCACAGCCAAAGTGCGAGCGAGCCTCCGAGCGAGCAAGAGAGAGAGAGAGAGGGCGCGCATTGGTACCGCGGATTGTTGTTGGATTGAGGCTGATAACTACAGCTCAGTGAGGTAAAGGACTCTGAGGGTTTAGATAGTTCACTTTAGTCTAAGTTATCTCAGTGGGTCTCAAACGGTTTGATCACAATTTATGTACACACATATTTCCAAGGCACACCTTTATAATTATTGGGATAAATAAAAACAGGTTTGAAATCATTTCAATGTATACTATAGGACAGTAAACCAAAAACATTGTTTAAAACTGGAGAGATTACAAAAAGATGCATAAATAAATAAATGTTAACTAGGTAAAATAAGATATGAATGAACAACAAAAAATAAAATACGTTACATTCATTTGTTATTGGCTATGGGTTATTGGTTATGTTCACATACTTATTTGATTATTAAAATGTAAACCGATCTTTTTCATATGGGTGTTTAGAGTTGTACCCCCTAGATCTATTCTCTAGTAATTCTGCTCAAAGTGCACCAGATTGAAGCATTTTACTTTAAAATATTTTTTAAAATCTTTCCGGGGGGGCATACCCCCGGACCCCCCTAGAAGATGTGACGTCCACCCCCCAATTAAAACATGTTCATACAATACTGAATACATTTGAAACCTTCTTTATGTATATAACCAACATGTCAATACGTTTCAGTTGTTGTAGTGTATTGGTCTTTTGTAGAGATTTTTCATTTAATCTTTATATATTCTGTTGTGTATTGCTTGGAGGGGGGGGCACCAAATCATAATCTCGCCTAGGGCACCAAAATGTCTAGAACCGGCCCTGGGTGCATGCAGATGTTGGATCAATAGGTGCAAATTGTTCTCTGATTGACAGCATCAGGTGTCAGACGCTGAGGCTCAGACTCATCGAGTTTATTTCTTATCGGCCTACTATAATAAAATCTATTTCTCAACTGAAACGCTGATTTTCTTGATATTGTTGTTTAAAACCAACATACAGCTTTCTGTAAGAAACAGTAAGTTACAATACACGTGTTAGAAATCATTTTGAATTTAATAAATAAATGACACAACTTACTGTGGCGGTTTTCGCTGTGTACACCCGTTATTCTACCGTCCGGTAACACCTGGATATGAAAGCCGATCCCAACGTTGCAATAAAGTCTCCGCAGCCTTTTAATGCCCAGCAGATAGTCTCCGTCCCGGCTGACATCCACCCGCTTCTCGCCCGGGATCCGCGCCAGGGAGCGGGAGTACAGAGCCTCCCAGCGGTCCGCCGTGCCGTTCAGCCCGGGGACGCAGCCTGCCAGCCCGGTCACCAGGCCCAGCACCAGCACCGTCTGCAGGGCCGCCAGAGAGCCCATCCCGGGGGTGGCTCTGAAAGCAGCCTCCCGGCGTTTGCCTTTCCACTGAAGCGAGAATAGGAAGCGGCGGCGGGTGGAAGTTGCGCTCATTCCCAGACCGACAGGCGCACTGAGTTCAGCACCGGAGCGACATTGATCTGCATGGACGCTGCGCAGCCATGCCTCTATATTTATACCTGCAGACACATTACATCACAGCTCCACACTTAGAAGAAATCTACAAACTACAATTTGACATCAACAGAGCTGGAGGCTTTATTGAAATCAAATAATAGCTGCCTTATCAGAGAGCAAAGTCAGGAGTTTGTAGAAATACATGAATAAAGGCCTTATTATGATAAAAAAAAACTTCTTTGTGCGAGGCTTTCATTATCAGCTGCATAATATCATTATTTATGTATGGGAGGATGTAAAATAGGAAACGGCCAAGTTAACAGACCGTGGTGTCGAGACAGGAGACAGTTCTATAAATGAACAATAACAGGAAAAAACACAGGTCCAATTCAACCGAATGAAAAAGCGCTAACTTAAGAAGGGAAATCATGTCCCGGGCCCTTGTAGAAACAATGGTAAGACTAAATAGAGAGTTTGCAGCATGATAAGTAGGCTGTCATTGTTGGCCCCAACTGTACCCAGCTCTGACGTTACAGGCATCACATGTCAGGTCTGTGAACTGTCATATGTGGAGGAAGTGCTCAAATGATTGACTTAAGTACAAGTAGCAATACTATACAGTAAAATATAATCAAGTAATTTTGAAAGTAAAAGTAGAAAATTATTAGCATCAAAAAATGCTTTAAGTACCAAAAGTCAGGTTACACATTATGCAAAACAGCCATTTTAAGCACTGCATTTCTAAAAATGTATTTTATAATGGTGCATTCATCTGTTTATCACTCTATGTTGATCATGGTAAAGGTGGGGTTCATTTGAACTGTATACTTTAGTTCAAGTAGATTAAGCTATATTAATATATTATAATGTGTGTCAAATCATTTGTTGTGTTAATTACTTAAATGCAGTGGAGTAAAAAGCACAACATTTGCCCAGAAAATGTAGTGGAATAAAAGTATAAAGTAGTTTAATGCGAAAATACTCAAGTAAAGTACCTCATTTCATACTTAAGTACAGTACTTGAGTTTGTGTATAATATTTATTGCATTGCATGTGTCATTTCAGTAATGAGAGCCTGCCTTTCCGTCGTAAATTCAGAACTGTTAAATGAAATGATGATGCCCAACACAGGGACAGTCAGTGTTCACATGTGTATTTGCAATCTCCACCTTTGGAATTGTGTAGGCCTATAGAATGAGTAATAGTATCAGTTAAAGTCAAATGCTTCTCTGAAATAATAGATTTGTGTTTGAATGATTTGTTTGGATTATATGAACCAACTGGTGTCATGGCAGCCTGTCTTTGATGTGTCTTCCTTGACTGTCATTCAGATGTACTGGTGTGTTGCTTTTGATGTCTTTTGAAATAAACCAAACTAAATGGCCTGCCCTCCCTTTATTTCACTATTTCATCACTGCTATTATTCCTGCTATATATACGTTGAGCATTACAATCTACCCTCTCTGTTGAGTGTCCTATTATGTGTGTGGATGTTGGAGCGCTGAAGGTCTTCCCCTCTGTCAGCCGGGTCCTTTGATCTCTGGGGTGGCTCGGTCCTGCTCCTCATTGACCACGCATGAAACGTTTTCTCACGTTCACATTCGGCTGATCCTCAATGTACAACAACATTGTTTCTTTGTGTGCTGCAAAGTGGCTCCATGAATGCGGTCAGATCTTAGAGACAATCCTGTGGTGTTGAGGCGCCTGGTTGATTTCTACCAAGCCCCAAACATGGCTGACTTACCAGCCAATCAACAGGACCCGTCGGGCTGCCCGGTGGGCCTGAGGAGACATCGTCCAAAATAATGCCAGTAGTTTATAAAAAATTCTAGAATGACTGAAAGGGCCAGAGTAACGGCCATCATTAAAAACCCATCAAGCTGGAGGCCGACTCTGCTGGACATCTAGGTCAACTGATGAACTCCTAAAACTCCAAAACAACCTTATTGACCTCTGGATCTCCAGGAGAACTTAAGAACCGCTGGACATCAGACATTTTAGAAACAGGTTCTCAAAGAAATTCATAACATTATTGGTAAAACAATAAACATCTCTCCATCATACATTTTAGGCATAAATAATCCCTCGAATATCCTTTAACATGTATTAAAACTCATCAAAATCCTCCTCTCTGCTAGATGGTGCATTTGATTAAAGTGGGTGTCGGAGGAATCCCCAAAGGTCACACAGTGGATAAATAGTGTGTTAGAGTTTGTGCCTTTTGAAGGTTTCTTTGATAAAGACCACTAATCATGGGCTGATGGACTGCTGATGGATGTCTTAGGTCCAGCTCAGCGTGAGGACACATGCAAGAAACAGCATTGCTGACATACCATCAGACCTTCAGAGGAACTGATGGGTTGTCAGACCGCTTTAGCAAAATACTTGAATGGATGAGGGCCTTCAGGAAAACAGTTTGATCAACAGTAATGCATCTTGATCTCTGCAGCAGAGTATCACTGCACTGTGTGGGTGGCTCGTGAGCTCTGGACTTAGAGAAGGATCTCCATGGATCTCCAGGATGGCTGAGGGAACACTGGAGCTTTAATCTGAGCTGGCCTCTTCAGAGCGTTCCTGGAAATGAAGACGTTTGTTTTCCGAGTGCACCAGGAAGTCCTGTGCTGTCACTGTCCATGGTTCTGTAACCTCCTACTATTACTTTAAAACAAAATTAGTTTGAGATGTTTCTACCCAGCAACTCACATTGGTCAGTTATGTGCTGCTTTATTTTTTGTTAATGTTGTACTAAAGTCATTGTGGTTTTAGGTTGCATGTACGCAATGAATTATGCTGAGGGAAAGAGGTTTTAGATTTCACTGGGTGACAGCTGCAATTCAGATCTTAAAATGTCTCAACATTCACCACGAGCATCCGTTCACTCACTTGTTTATTGAACACTTTCAAAGCCAAGCACTACATCTTCTTATTGATTGTAAATGCAGGATAATCATACTTCTTTTTGAATGTACTTTTAATCAGCAGTAAGTGATTTTAACTATGGGAGTCTGTACTTGTATTGAGGAAGAGAACGGTATTCCTTTTTTTGGTTTGACCCAAGCATTTTTTAAACTTTAAAAATAACATTGATCGTTAAAAGAAAAATACTTTTTCCAACATTGAAAATATGGGGCACATAATAGATGCCTAAAGTGAGTTGATCTTCTGAATTTTGTGTGTGTGAAAACTTCCTTTAGTCATGATTGAAACAGAATTAAATCCACTATTTCTTTCCCTTAAGCCCTTTTTTGTTCCTTGCATATAAACTGTGTATCAATAATCTACTACAGAGAGTATCAGACAGTTAACATTGAACTGTTCATGTCACACATGTCGGTAAGGATGTAAATGGTGTGTTACCTGTTAGTGGATGTAAATCAGTGTAAGGTTCATAAATATCCAAACCGAGGAGCCGTGGTATTTCCTCTGATATTGTTGGCACAGTGCGGTTGGATGCTGGCCAGCGAGACAGCTGTCAGTGAACTGCTGCCAGACTGGATCCACTAAGTGACTTGCACACATGAATTTGGTCTACTCTATGTATTTCTTTGTTCAGAATGGGCAGAGTTCCTATTGCCTAGCTGTTATTGCCTTTACTGCCTTTTCTGTAAAATGACACGGCAAAACCAATCAAGTGGTTTTGAATATTCAGATCATCGGGGCATATCAGGCAACATTATGTGGAGCTATGTTCAACTTTAGTTCAAGGATATGGTTTTAAGTGATGTCCTTTAGCTGAGCTTCTGAACATTTCCATTCTGTTGGTGAAAAGATTAACAGTTGAAGGGCTGTTGAAACATCACTTTGGTCATACATTTTTTTTGTCCTTTGTTCTTTCCCTATGAAAGAGTCTGAAGTGACTGGGTATTGGATGTGTGTTTGCTGTGTTTGTCCTGCCTGCAGAGGGCATTGAGCTGATGAGAGGAACACGAGGCACGCTGTCTGCCTCTAGAGGTCCCTGTTCACAAAGTGACCCTCCTGTTCTATGAGCTCTGAAACCATGTGTATGTGTAATCCTAACTATAACTGAATGAACCTCAGTTATGTGCTGTTGAGAGTCAAATCTAACATCCAATTGTGACATATTTGCAACATCAGCAGGGAACATGGTTCTCTCCAGTCCATATACACACGTAACATGATGGTAGCATAACGATCCTCCTTCAATCATTTGTGTTTCAAATGTGTGCAAACAGAGAAAGAAAAGAAATGCAGAGGTGGGAAGTAGAGGAGTACAAATACTTTGTTACTGTACTTAAGTACATTTTTCTGATATCAGTACTTTACTCCACTACTTATTTTTCTGACAACTCTTTACTTTTACTTCTTACATTTTGAACACAAATACCTGTATTTTCTACTTCTTACATTTTCCAAACAGGTTCGTTACTTTAGTTTGAATCTGCGTTTCATTACATTTATTAGAGCACTTTTCCGAATGCTCAAAGCGCTTTCCATTCCATATGACACATATCAGACATGTAACAGTGAATATAGAACACTAGGGTGAAGTGTCTTCCCCAAGGACACAACATTATGGGTACTTTTTACTCAAGTACATTTCGAAGCCCATACTTCTTTACTTTTACTTGAGTAAGGAAGTTTAGTCAGTACTTCTTAAACACGAGTATCTGTACTTCTACTTGAGTAAAGGATGTGTGTACCTTTGCCATCTCTGAAGAAAAGTAATACCTTTTAAAGCACTATTTTCAAAGGGTTAATAAGTTGTAAATAACAGGTTCATAATGGTTTATAATGAATGCCTATTAGATCAGTTATAGAACAACACGGTAATCCATAAAAAGAATGCTTAATACATTAAAGAAGATATGGTGGCCAGACTCCTCTTTAGCCAGAATAAAAGTGTTTAGTCTTAGCAGTCAAAATGCTTTTTATCAAACCTGGCATCCCAAAATGTGATCTTATTAATGGTTCATAATATTTATTTTGAATAAGACCATTAGGTATACTCATTTAAACCTATAAACGGTTGTCTTATTAGAGAAGCTCTCGGATGTTGATGAGGTTTTCATATCAACACATGGTTTGACTAAAGAACACCACAGAAGTGTGTCCCATTCATTCCCAGCGTACTGATAGGCTGATAGAATTACTGTGATTGAACTATTATGTGATTCACATGAAAATGCTCTTTCAGGAATCCTTATCCCTCCCCTCATCAGTCCAGCAGGTATGCAGATCAATGTGGTTTTACTGCCAGGCTGAACGATATGATTAGCAATATGTGATGGATAAAACCCTAACCCTAAACCCCTAACCCTAAACCCCTAACCCTAACCCCGGGACAATGAGATTCAGAAGAGAATTGTTTCTAAGTGTAACAGGCATGCAGGGAGAGGGGGCACAAAGGGCCCTAACCTCTCTGGGGTCCTGCATTCCTGGTGAGTAATATTAGAGTTTGGCATTCATAACAAACCATAGCAAGGTGTTGTACTTTGTATGACACAGTTTCTGCTTTCAGGAGGGCCTGCCTTGTTTATCCACTCTGTGGCCTTTGGTCGGTGTTTCAAAAAAAGCCCAAAAGTCTCAGGCGGCATTGCTTCCCAGGCCCCCCCTGGGAGGAGCCATTGTCCGGGCCAGGAAGCCTCCCCAGCCCGCAGGTATAGAATGACAGGGCTTTATATGCAGCTACCTATAGATGGGAGCGAGGCAAAGCTAAACCTGAACATCTAAAAGAGTCACAACGCTGCTTATGATGAATTTTGCATCGATGGTTGTCTTTGTCGTGTGTGTTCGGCTGTGAGGCAGCAACAGGTGCAGCAACTAAACAAATGAGTTGCAGCAGGCAAAGGATACTGTCATAAATAAAGACAGAGGGACAGAAAAGGGGGGTGGGGGCGGGTACAACTCTACATGCAGAGCCACCCTGAGTTGTAATAAAGCAGCTAACCAGGCGGTTTTAGTTAGAGGAAACATGTCCCACAAGTCATTACACTACATGTATGCTTTTTAAGATGCTATCAAATAATCCCACGGTTTGATCAATCATAACGTATTGACAGTAGCATTCATTTGATTTTCAATTGAAATGGAAAGGAAATCTGGCCTCATCATTTGAAGCAGGCGGGTTGCAGTCGGTGAATGAGAGGGTCTGGGTTAGATACCGGCTGTTTGGCACTTTTTGTAAAATAACAAAATGTGCTACTGTGTGTTTGAGGCAGTGCTGCGTTCAAAGAGCTGCGGCTGAAAGAACGAAAGAAACATGAACTGTAACCGAGAAATGATCAACACACAATATTTTCCACACCTAAACAGAAAGGGAAAATACCACTGTGATTTGGGAATTGTTTCAAAATAAAAAATAAGGATTATGGATGCATTGAAATATTGTAAAGTTAGGTTTGAATGATTTTGAGGTTAGGTTACTCTGTGTAAATGATGTCATAGTATTCTATTCATCATGGTAGCTCATAATTCAATGAGACGTGAGGGAGTCGTTCTGAAAGAAGACATTGTGACGTACATTACCGTACACTCAACAGCTGATTTATGAGCTGCATTTATCTCTATACTTAAACACAATCACAAAACGTCATTCTGTTTGAGGTCTGTGAAGACAAACTCTGGCTGCAAACCTTTCTGAACAAATCAAAGAAACGTCAGAACAAATGCACCAGTAGTTTCCTCGGGTCAGTACCATTGTGTTTTATGTTGGAACAGGTGGGGGGTGAAAACTATGAACAAACAGCGACATTGGTAAAATGCAGAAATAGTATTATCAATAACTTACAACACAGGCACCAAATAAATACTCATATCATTAGTAAAAATATACAAAGTACATCTCTCCTTTTACAGACAGTAGACTATCACATTGTTACAAAAAATACAGCAGACTGAGTTTACTCCGCATCTTAATGTGAATCTGATCAAAAGTGCTTTGCTGATTAAAGTCCTCTCTTAAATATCCGTCATATCTGTTAGCACTTCAAATGAGCAAAATATTGTTTAATATACCGTGTTTGTCATCACAGCTTTTGACAAATGAAAAGCTATAAGTCACTGTACATGCATAGTGCATACTGTATTTACAATAGAACCCCTTCTATAAGGATTTCTCTCCGTGTGATGGTGTAATAAAATCCTTTTACAAAGTAACAATGTTTTCAACTACATAAACACGTGTTTACAGGCTGACAGTAGCGCTGTCAGGGAACAGGAGATTATACCGCTGTGTGAGCCACAGTCTCCTGGAAGTGGAAGATTTGATATATGTGCAGTGAAAAAACGAATTCATTAAATGTATAATGTCAACAAATGTCCCATTATTGTATTAGATTAGATGAAAGCATTAATAGTAAGTTTAAATAAAAAACATTAGGTTCAACTTAATATAATTACTTTCAACTAACCTAATTCAGTTATGTGTATTCTGTTGACATGATTTAATTAAAGTCACGGTTTCAGTTTTTTCAGTGTCTGCCCCAACACTATCTATTCTTCTTCTATTATTTCATTGTCTCTGTGCATCAACAGATCTGTTAATCCAGGCAGGATCCCAACGCGTCCCCTCCTCTGCGACAGTCTGTGCTCATCAGGGTCCATGTTGCTGAGTCAGCCCCTCTGAGGGCCCCTCAGTCCTCTGGCCCTCGGCCCCGGCCCTTCCTGGCCCGGTGTCTGCGTCTGCGGCGGTCCCCTCGGCGCCCGTTGTGATGCGTCTGATGCTGTGCGCTCTGACTGTCCCTCAAACGCCTCACCATCTCATGGTCCTTGTTGCCTAGCACCCGAGGCAGGAAGAGCGAGGCCTTGTCCGTGCTCCGGGTCTTGAAGCCTCTCCGGGGCCGGCCCTTGCCGTTGATGGAGACGTACCACTGCCGCTTGGCGCTGGCCCGCCGCCGGCTGCCCCCCCCCGGGGCCAGCGGCTGCTCCGTGGAGTGGTGGCGGGAGGCGTAGGTGTTGTACCCCAACTCATGGATCCGCTCCACAAACTCACACTCTTGGTTGAACACTTCCTGGGTAGAGGAGAAAGAAGGAAGCAGTGAGCAACATGCGTCATGTGACCTGCTGTGTGTTTCAGGTCGACCTCTCCAACAAACTGAAAACACTGAAACGTTGACTTTAATTACAAATATTATGTCAACAGATCTCACATAACTTATTAGGTTGGTTGAAAGCAATTATATTAAGTCAACCTAATATTTTTTAATTAAACGTCATATTATTGCTTTCAACTAACCTAATTATGTGAAATCTGAAACATTTAATTAAACCCAACATTTCAGTTTTTATAGTTCACACAGCGAGTGTTTCAGCTCAACGTGTCACCCTCAAAATTATCTGCCTCTACTGTCGGACACAAATAATAATAATAATCATTGCAATGATCACTTTTATGTGAAAAACATACATTCTTTCTAAATGTCCAAACATTTGTATAATTTGTTATATATAATGTCTCAACACCATGTTACTTATGTAACTTAGTCTTTTACATCGCTGCTACTCATCTTTTAGCCATGGCTGTGTACTTATTTGTCTTTTTTGTTTGACTTATATGTGCTTTTCTTCCCTATATTTCATAAGTTAGCTTAGTCTTTATCCTTGCTTGCCTTTTTTTGACCTTCCATGCCAGTTTTGCTGAAACAATGTGAAGTTGCCCCCTGCGGGACTTATAAAGGACTTCTGGTGCTGGTTCTGAAAGCAGCATTATAATAACATCCTAAGCCAGATCAAGATGCAGCGCTGCAGCAGGTCAACATCACACTGACAGTTGACTTTAATAACTGTTTTAGTTGAAAGCAATACTGTTGCGTTATAATAAAAATATTAGATTCAACTTAATAGTATTGCTTCCAACTAACCTAATACAGTTATGTGAAATCTGTTGGAGTAATACTTTTAATGAAAGTCAATGGCACTGTTCTTCAGTGCAGCAGGTAACCAACTCTCTCTTTCATATCTGAGACCCTAACCTGGGTTGCTGTTTGAACAGAAGGTGACAGGCTAGATGATGGGATGACTTCTGTACTCACCGAGGCATACAGCCGCCCTTTATCATTCATGGCCAGATATCTGCCAGAGAACAGGCCCTTTATGGCCACGACTCCCACATCCACTGCTGTGATTTCCATGATGCCTGCAACACACAGAAAACAGTCAGGATGCTGTATGTAAATTCATCATGATTTAAAAGATCATTATTTGTGTTCTCTGTAGCATTAATGATTACCCACTGATAAGTCTTGAAAGGTGGAAATCAATTATAAAGAGCAAATGAAGCCAAAACAAACAAACACAAAACTGTTGTCATTTCCAATAAAGGAATTAATTTCCGTTGTGTTTGCCACCTCGTGCCGCCCCATTCAGTTTGTTTATTGTCTTTTTTAATCAGTGCTTGATTAGTCAATGACCTATTCAGCCTGTGGAAAGCTCTAATGGGCGCTGATGAGATAAATACATCCGTTAGGACAGCGCCTTTGTCCCGCCGGGATGTTAATACTTTGCCTGATACTTGTAATTAACCTTCATGTCGGCAGCTTTACAATAACAACATTTCACACACACACACACACACACACACACACACACACACACACACACACACACACACACACACACACACACACACAAACTGAGGCGCTACACTGAGGACTGATATATCCTAGATAAATTAATCATTTCATAAACTACTAAAAAAAGACTGACAAACAAATGTATAGAAATCAAACGTGTAATAACATCAATGAATAATAGGCTTTTTGCGCAAATATTTATTGTAGCCACCTTAATAATAAATGTAGGCTAAGTGTCATTTCACAAGTGTTACATTTAAAAAAACAACTCTCATTTAACAACTTGACCTCACATTTGTAAGAATAATGTTCATCAAAGCACTGATACAATATATTGTTTATATATAAGTGTATATGTGTGTGTGGTAGTGCACATTCCTGTGCGTAAAGCAGAGAATACTCACTGAACGGGTTGTTTTCCTCCAGTGATCCGTCTATCTTCCCGTTGGAATTGATCTGTAAATGATATTTGGTCGCGCAGTAGAGCTTTCTGCGCCTCGGGGCTCCTCCGAGGTGTTCGTACACTCCTCCGCGGCCCCCGGCGTCCCTCCGCGGCCGGGGGTCGCACGCCTGGCCCGGGGCGCAGCGGGCCCGGGGAGTAACGGGATCCAACAGGCTCAGCAACACCAGCAGAAAAATCATCAGCATTGTGGCATGGCCGGGGAGCGACGATTGTGGGGGGAAAATGTAGAACTCCAATCCGGCACTCGGGGTCCCATTAAAGTGTCGGGGCCCCAACGCTCCAGAGCTCCAGCCTTGCGCACATCCAAGCCCGAGACACACCGCTGACAGCACCGCCCTCCAGTCCTCTGCTGCTGGAACCTCCTGCGGGTCTGACTGAGAGCCGGAGCGCAGACTGAGCGCAGATATAAAAGAAGCTTGTGGCGACAATAGGCTGAACTCCGACCAATTGATACAAAGGAAAGGGGGAGGCAAAAGGTATCAGCCCTGTGTGAAGTGAGAGACTGCGGCGTGGATAAAATTACACAGTGACTGAGTGCGGAACAGCTCTCTCTGAACTCCTCTTCTGAAATCTCCTGAAAGAGCACTTACACATCCCAAATTATACCCTGAGCTGCAGGCCCTGCGACAGGTGAGCAATGAGTGTTCCTGGTGTCCTGATCAATTATTAATCGACTCAAACATTTAAAATAACCCTACACATTACAACTTTTTCAACTGAATTGTTTCTTTTTTGAATTCAGACCGGAGAATCTGAGGCCTTTCCTGTCATATCGCCCTCACTTGACACACATTCATCTGTCCACTTTCTAACTAGTATAGATACATCTATCACAAAGGGCTTGTCTTATAGCAGCAGGCCCTTCAGGAAAAGCCAATGTCTATAATATTTCTGATTTGCCGTGAATAAAAGCTCCTTGGTTCAGAATGTGATCCAGAGATCCACAGAGTTCTTCAGAGGTGGAGACACACTTCCAATGCTGGTTGACTTAAGAATCTAACCCAAGCTCTTCTCTCAGCAGTTAAAAGTTCACAGCCTTCTTTGTCCTTAAGTGTTAAGATGCTCCTTCCTCCTCCTGACCTGTAAGCATTTCCCTCTAATGCTAAGAGTCATTTGTGTTGAAGTTAGATTAAGAAGGAAAGACAAATGAATGGCATGTCACAGAGTTCCTCCTAACTCCACAGAGCGCCTCTCTGTGAGTTCATTGGTTATCCTCCAGCCGAGCAATGGCTTGTCCCAGACTTTTCCCATCCTAATGCCCCGGCTCTGGCTAGGCAGCAGCCGGTGGGCGGAAGAGCAGCAGGCTAAATGACTACTGCCTAAATTGCTTCCATCTTGGTCGCATTATGGTTTGCATTCTGGTAATTAGCACCATCATCTACAAATCTCTCTGCCCTTTGGCGCTGCTCCACTGCTGTGCTGAGAATCCCCCAGAGAGTCCACGGTTCATTTGTCTTCCCCTCCCATACATCACCCAGCGAGCTGCCTCTGTCACTTTATTTACCCCGATGATCAGAAAAAGCAGCTCTCTTTTAATTACAAATGTGTGCACATTATGCATGCAAGACCCTCGTCAGACAGCACACCAGAACATGAGTCCGGGCCGTGTGTATCAGCGGTTCTTCTGGTGGCCGTTTCTAAGTGAGACGCTCTTGATGTGGTTAAATGCTGGAAGAGGGAGGAACCTCAGATGTGGCTAGCTGTTTCTCTCAGAAACTATTTTAATTACGCTCCCTCCACGCCGCCCACAAAGCATCCCAGCAATAAGCAGGGCCAACGCTCTCAGTTTGTGATACACATGCACACACACACACTAGGATAAGATTGTTGTTGATTGTAATTTTCAAGGTTAAGATGTCAGTTATGAGACCGAGATACATCTGAGCGTTACGCCTCTGCCAGATCTTATAAGCAGATGCATTTGAGCAAATATTAGTGGAAAAGTCCAATCTGTATTGTTTCAGCAGTGAGTGGCATCTCCAAATGCTTTTAGATGTCTACTTTTTGCTGCAGAGACAAAATGCTGGCCTGGGTTGTACCAGCTGTATACTCAATAATGTCTACCTTAAAGACATTTATAGTAACAGCTAAAAGTCACACTATCCTATTTGGGTGCCCGAAAAATTACAATAGATACAAATGGAAGCAATTAGATATTTTGTCTTTCAACAATATAATACCTTTGAATAAAACTGATTTAAAACATATTTTCATGGATGTGACCATGTGGTTAGAGCTTATACTGAGCATGTTCTGTTGGGATCCACCCGAGGATTAAACATGTTGACTCAGGCCTGAAACCTGGCAGAGAAACTAGAACCTTCAAAAGCCAATTGGACCAACCAGAGTCACATTGGGTCTAGATTACTGACAACCAAGTGGACCCTCGAAGACCTCTAATGGGGCCGGGTTCGGGTTAGAGCACTAGAGGGCATCTCAAATGCATCTTGACAGATCACTTGGATTGGACTTCCCTGCTCCCTTTTGAATGTAAAGAAACTTCAACCTCAGCTTAACAGGAAAAAAACACGTTTGTGCTCAGCCATGGAGTGAAGAGACGGCTGTGAGCAGCTGTTTGATGCCCGGCCCGGGTACAGACTTCAGAACCCGTCCCAGATATTTGGCAGAGGCAAATCAACTGTTTGGGAGCTTTGTTCTGCTATCTACACAATACAAAGTTGACTAATTGGTCCTTCAATGTGGCCAGGGAGCCATTCGAGTTCACATTACACTGCACACTTGCATTCCTGACCGCCTCCCACTGTGGCTGGAGTGATCAGGTCCCACTCAATGCATTTTGGAAGTATTCACACCTGTGTTTAGAAGAAACAAGATAATGACAAATGCCTTTCCTTCAAGCGAAAAGCACGGCCAATTCTGGTTTATTTACCAAACTCAAATATTTAAAACCATTCCTCTTGCCATCATCCACTTGACAAATGAATCCAAGCCCAGCCACATGAAGGGCTTTCAGACAAAACCCAAAAGCATACATTTTAACTTTCCCATTTTCTCTCCCCAGACATGAATAAAAGCAAGAATTTCAGGGCTCCTTTTTTAATTGACCTCCCCAAAATTCTCCCCCCACCTCCACCCCAAATACCCTCTTGGCACAAAAGGGTTTCTTTTCTGCAATAATACAAAGGTTATTAGCCAGGTCCTTTTCTTGGCCCCCCTTTAGCGGAGGGAAAAGGAGGTACCAGTAATCCAGAGTAAATCAAAATGACCTTTGAACCCTTTCTGCTGTACTTTTTCTCAGGGACAGATTTCTTTGGTGAGGCGGTGATCAGAGGGCTGAACCAGCCGCTGCCTCTCGTCTCCTGACAAATCGCTGCTGAGCCTCTTTTGTCCTCATGACTTTGATCTCACCTGCTTGTCAGGCGCTTCAGAAAGAAGTCTAGTACAGTTCCAGCACACAGCAAACAAATTGGCAACTATTTTATTCAGCCTCCCTCTTCCTCCCTCTCTTGTGCAACTTTAGCAACCACACAGGTCATTGAACTCTATACATGTCCTAAAGTACTTGCTTTTTTTATATAACATTTAAAATGTCACCCCGGATCACCTTCATCATGTTCGCCTAGAGCAGGGGTGTCTTAAATCATTTCCATTCAGGGGCCACATGCAGCCAAATTTGATCGTAAGTGGGCGGGACCAATACAAAATCATAGCATAATAACCTATAAATAACGCTAACTCCTAATTGTTCCCTTTGTTTTTGTGCAAAAAAAGAACATTCTGACAATGTTCACATTTAATGAACTCTCTTTTTACAGATCTAATTATTTTACATTGATTTCCACACCTCCATACACACTAAAGTGGGAACTATTAAGGAAGTAGGTTCAGTAATCCCCTGCCTTTGTAAATGTATAAATGTATACATACAAAACATATTAAAGTTGTGAAAATTGCAGTTAATGTCTCATCCGGATTGGACCCTTTGCGGGCTGGTTTTGGACCGTGGGTCGTATGTTTGATACCCCTGCCTCAAAGTGTATCATGGTGACTTTTGATCTAGCGCTATCATCAGGTGGGCATTTCAATCACTCCAATACTTTGGTTTATGACCAAAGTCTGCAGATGTCAGAATGCTAACATGCTATACAATAATGGTATCATGGTAAACACTAGGGATGGGCAGTAAAAAGGTTTCACCCACGACATGGATTTTGCAAAATGTATGTTAAAACATAAAAGATAACACACATTTTGGGTTAGATACACACACGGTCAATATATTTGCTACAATACCTGAAGTGGCTCCCACACAAGTGAAACTGTCTGTGGTTGTGTATGGGCTACAAAGCGCTGCTGAACAGTAACAGTGCTGCTCCGCTAATATACTGCCGGCCCCCAGATTATTTGTTCTTTCCATTTTTGCCAAGAACCACACAGGGGTTGGAAAAAAAATAAGCACACCAAATATCTAAGGGAGCAACCCCCACGTGTCTGTTATCTACAGCCACCTACAGGTCTGTGGACTGTTACAAGTCAATGGGTGAGATGTGAAGTACGCTTTTGGTAAGTTATAAATGTTGATGGAATAAACAGTGGAATTTAATTAAACAATTTAACAACATAATTCATTTATATTTTGTATTCAAATATAATCTGCTCACATTCAGGTTGTTCAGCAATACACTTCAGTCACAACTAAAAAACCACAGCATGGCTGCAAAATGTAAAAATGAATCCCATTTCATTTACAAAAGAACCTACGTTATGACACACTACTCCTCCAAAATCTCAGGCCTTTACCTTGTTTGTATTCCTTTATGGAGACAATTATACACCATTTTTTCCCTTCCCTTTTTTAAGATATTTTCCCTTAAATTGCCAAAAAGTTAAAAGAGGCAAAATCATATTAAAGGTGGGGTAGGTAAGTTTGAGAAACCGGCTCGAGATACACTTTTTGTTATATTCCATGGAATGCTCTTAACATCCCGATAGCAATGAATATCTTAAGTGCTTTGACAATAAATCCATAACAAAAATTCATCTGTGGAAGCCGTAGTACTGTAAAAAGCACGACCAATCATTTTAGCCGACCCGGCTAAAATAACTGGATGGCCTACCTGCCTGTCAGCCTTCCATCTGTGCACAAACTTATCTCGTGCCCTCATTGGTCATGTGTGCGTTCGTGTGTGTTGGAGGAGGGGCTCTGTAAGGAAGTGGCAGATTT